GCCCAGCGCTTCAGACCTGCCCGTCACTCGGGCACAGACGGTGTGTTCACAACGAGCTGTTTCAGAGGATGGCGGGCACCCACATCCCTCCCGCGACCCCAGGGGGCTCGCCCCGCCATCACAGCCACGCAGACCACGCCGACAAACAGCCGTGGGGAGAACGAGACTCCACCATGCAGACTGGAAACAAACACAAGTGAATGACCATTAAAAGTGGATGCTGTTGCCCTGGCTGGTTGGCTCAGCAATTGGAGCGTCGGCCCGCGGAACAGAGAGTCCTGGGTTCTGTTCCCGCTGACCTCGGTTGCACTTTGTCCCCACCTGGTTGGGGTCATGTGGGTGGCGGCCACTTGACGTGTCCCTTTCCCATCGATGTTTCTCTCTCTTCCCCCCCTCCCTCCCCCACTCTATCTGAAGATAAATGCAAAAATGTCCTTGGATGAGGATAAAAAGTGGGTATTGCACTGGCGTAACTGGGAGGGGTGCAATCTGAGTGGTATTTAGAGAGAGAATGCACACCTAAGACATCTAGAAATCCTGAAGAGGAGTGATTATCCAGCCTAAGGAGCTGGAGGAAGGTCACTGTACCAAGGCCAGGAAAATGGGAGGAGAATCCAAGAGGAGGAGCGAAACCTTCAGTAGGAACAAGGGCAGAAGGTTGTTGAAAATATTAATAAAATGGCAAATAGCACCCTGGCCAGTTTGGCTCAGCAGTTAGAGCATTGGCCCTCGGACCGAAGAGTCTCGGGTTTGATTCCAGTCAAGGGCATGTACCTTGGTTGCAGTTCAGTCTCTGGCCCTGTTTGGGGGTCATGCGGGAGGCAACCAGTCCATGTGTCTCTCTCACATCGATGTTTCTCTCTCTCTCTCTCTCTCTCTCATCTGAAGATGAATGGAAAATTATCCTCGAGTGAGGATTAAAGAAAAACAAAAACTGGCAAATAGCTGGCAAGCTTGACCAACAGAAAAACAATTAACGGCTCGAATAAACAACCTCGGCCACGAGGAAGGCCCAGTGACTGACGACACGGACGTTAAAACGCTAGCAAATCTGAGCACAAGGATGAGACGTGCAAACTCCTGGAACCCGCAGGAGAAAAGACAAAGAAGCGACAGCTGAACCGTCCCACCCACAATCGGGTCACGGCATCAGAAGGAAAACTTCCCGCAAAGAAAACACCAACAGGCAAGGGGAAATATAGCCCTGAGCCTCCACAGAATATTCTGGAACACAGAAAAAGAGGGAACACGTCTCAACTCCCCCTGCCAGGCTCACAGACCTTTGGGACTGAACCCACAGAGCACAGCATCAGAAAGAAACCCTCCGTTCTGTATACATGTCACCCAAACATGGACACAGACATTCGGAAGACAGCATTAACGGGCGGATTTCAGGGGCATTTAAGAAATAATATACAATGTGAAGGGTTGGGGGGCGGGGGGCGAGACCGGAGATGTCTGGAAAAATAATCTAAGTGCGAGATGATAAGGCCTGAACTCAGGGGGGTGGTTCGGGGCTGCTGTGCAGGACGAGCTTGGGGGCGGGGGACCAGTGACATTGTCGAGGTGACAGTGTCTTGGGGTCCGGCCTGTAGGCCTGGGTGGACAGAGGGACAGAGTGGGACTCTGGGAAGATGCCAAGTCCTGGGGAACCGGGCCTGCCTGGCCCAAGGGGAAGGACCAGGGACAGCTGGGGTGGGGGGCCCCAGGCTGAAGGGCCTTCCTGGCCAGGAGCGGGTAGAAGGAGTGTTCGGTAGCGGGGCCCCCGCCTACCCACCTCTGAACTGGGGCCTGGAAACCCAGGCCTTCCCTGTGCCCGGTTCTGAGCCATGAACATTTCCGGCAAAAACAGAGAAGAAAGAACCCTTCCCCAAAGCAGCGTGAGCTGACCTTGCAAAGTAAACAGGGCTCAAGGAAAACACGGCAGCCGGTCCTGGGGACCAGCGGAGATTGTGCACGGGGGAGGGGTCCACACGCCTTCTTCTCCGGGGTCCCCGGGGAGCCCAGGGGAGGCCTGCTTCCCCAGCGGGCAGGCTGGCTGGCTGGGCCAGAGAGACCCAGGCCTGGGGCCAGGAGCGGGGGGCCGGGCTGGGGCTGCGGGGGGCCGGGCTGGGGCTGCGGCCGCATTCTCAGGCCTCCCGTCCCGGGGCCTGGCCAGGCCCCTCCGACGACTGGAATCTGCTGCTTCCCTGAGCACAGAGCCCCGGGACCCCCTGCTCCCTTGTCCAGCCCCCACCTCCTTTCGAACAGACCCCTCGTGTTTCTGAAGCACGGCCTGGTTTCTGCTGGCTCTCCACCATCTCTGGCCTCTGCAGGGACCGGCTCTCACCTAACTGGCTGTGTGACCTTAGGCGACGGCGCGACCTTCCCGAGCCTCCCTTTCTCCACCCGTCACAGAGGATTTCCTTGGGCCAAAGAGTCCTTTCCAGAATGAAGAGGTGGTGGGAGGAGCATGTGGCAACCCTGGCGGCTTCTAAGCAGGGGCACAGTGGGTCCCAGCCCCTCCCTTCACAGCCACGGGGCGGGGGGCAGGTCCCTGTGTGCAGAGAGGTGCGGGGCTCCCGGCTGCGGGGGTGCTGTTTCTGCGCTCCACCCCCTGGGGTGAGGGGCATCCTGGAGGGTGTGGGGCGAGAAGGCAGCGCATGGTCCTTCTCTCCCAGGTGGCGCCGGCCCGGACGTGAGGAGAAAGGGGCTCCTTGCGGGAAACCGAGGCGCCCCTGAGCGAGCTGAGCTGGTCTCCCCCTTGCATGTGGACACCCAGGCCCCTGCCTCTCAGAAGGATCTGCCCCCGTGAGCAGGAGCCAGTGACCATGAACCCCAAAGAGCCCTGTGCCACCCCTCTCCGAGGCCCCCGTCCTGCGGCTGAGTGAGCCGGCCCGGGATGGGACCCAGCACAGCCCAGGCCGAGCTGAGCGAGGAAGCAGTTGGGGGCTGGAGCAGGGGCTCCCCCGCCAGCGCCGGGCTCCCTTCCGGCCCGGGCAGCTGGGCGGGGCTGGGAAGGCCCGGGGGCTCTGGCCGGGTTGGCGGCCGCTGGCCCAGCCTCTGCTCTAGGCCTGCTGGGCCCCGAGGGCCGGGTGGCTGCTGGATTTCCTGCCCCAACTTCCCGCAGTCAGCAGGGTTGCGAGGGTTGTTTATGGTCCCGATGGCAGCAGTGATAAGGGCGATAACATGGGGCCCGGGACGTGCCCCTGTGCCCTCTGCGCCTGGTGAGGCCCTTTCCCAGGGGCTGTCCCCAAGGGGGCACCGGTCAGTGCAGGGGAGGGGCTGGGCCGCTGAGCCACCGCCGCCCACCGCGGCCTCCGCCAGGGGCCCAGCACCTCTCCATCGGCGCCTGGATGGACAGCGGGGCCCTGCCCGGCACGGGGCGCCCAGATGACTCCCCTCCACGTGCGGCGCAGGGACGAAGACGGCACAGCCCAGTCTCCCCAAGGGCCACATGTACGGAATGGAGGACGAAGACGGCATAGCCCCGTCGTCCTAAGTGCCACATGGACGGAATGTAACTGATACCCCAAGGCCAGTGCTAGCCCCCCAACAGCTCCCCACTGGCCTTGGCCCAGCGAGGGCTGGTCCTGGCTCTCAGACCCCACGGTAGCGGCTGCTCCAGCCTGGGGAGGGGACTGCTCCGGGAGACACTGTCACCCATCGTCACTCCCCAGGACACCAGGCTTCAGTCTGTCCCGAGAAGCCGGGGCCAGAGCCGTAAGACCCAGACATTAGGACGGGATGGAGTAGGGGTGGGCGCACCTGGTCCCAGGGTCGTTCCCGCGGTGTGACCGGCCAGCGAAGGTGCTGTGGCCAGGGCTGTCCCGGAGTCGGTCGAGGAGGCTGGGTGGGGGCCTGGGTCCACCCCTGGCTCAGCCTCTACGTCCTTGGAAGTCTGGATGCACCTATACAGGGTCCCCAGCCTGCTGTCCTGGGCTTGGCCCCTGCTGTGCCCTGTAGGGTGTGTCCACCCCTTGCCTGCCCGAGCTCAGAGACGAGAGCCAGGGGGCAGGCCCGCTGACGGTGTCAGGGTGTGGGTAACACACGGCCCCAGCGGGCCAGGCCCACAGCGAGGGCCCAGCGGGCACCTGGACGGTGGCCCTCTCTCTCGGCCTGACCGCTGAGTGGGTCTCACGGCCCTACGGCCAGCCCAGACCGGGCAGGCGGGGCAGGTGAGGCGCCCAGGATGCGAAAGGCCGTGCCCCTGCCCCGCCTGCCCGGCTGCGGCCCACAAACATGGGCCAGAGCCAGGTGTTGCCGGGGAAACCGAAGGGCAGCACCCCGGCCCAACCGAAACGCCTCTATTTTTAGCCTCCCAGCTACTTTCAGATAAAGTCCGCGTAGACCCACGAGCTGCTCGGCAAGATAACTGGCCGCTCCGACCACAGAGACTTCAAAGGGCAACCTTTCCGCTCCCGGGCGCCCTGGGAGGACGCTGGGATGGGCACGGGGCCTGGCAGCGAGTGGAGGCAGCCTGGGGGCCCGGGGGCCGGAGCCCTAAGCAGAGGCCTCAGCTGACACCCACACCGCCCGGCACAGTCCGGACCCTGTGCAGCCCCACGTTCCCACCTGATGCTGGTGCACCCCGATATCCCCGAGGGCACACAAGCTGGGGGACAGGAGTGTGACCCTCAGCGACTCCAGGGACGGGCCTGAGGGCACTGGGTGCCACTTGCCGGTAAAGACACCACTTGCCGGAGGTCGAGAAGCCAGCCTGGCAATGCCTCCTCCCATGGAGCTCGCCGCCCAGCTGGGCAGGGGCGTGTGCACAAGCCCCCATCAGGGAGCCCCTGGCAGGGGGTGTCCACACTGAGCACGGGAGGGGGCAGGAGGGACCCTGCAGACCCTTAGCACCGTCCACATCCGGCACGCCCTCAGCGTCGGCCTGGACGGAGCCTGGCGGGTCAGCGGCTGCTGTGGGTGGCCCTGCACAGGCCCGACGAGGGCGACCGAGGGCGGGGAGAGCCGAGCGCTGCCCACCAGGCTGCACAGCCGGGACCCCCGCGCACGCCTACCTTGTCTTCCACGCGGTTCAGGCGCGCACCGATGCTGTTGCAGCCGCGGTCCTTGCTCTTCTCTGTGGGGCGGAACATGGAGACAAGGGTGTGGGGGGGCAGACGGGCAGGGGCAGGGCGGAGGACCCCGATGGGTTGGAGTGAGGTAGTGAGGGTGGAGAGCGGGATCCTCTGGGCTGGTAAAAGCACTTCTGTGGCAAGCACTTCAGAGGGTGCGGATATGGTGGGGTGCAGTGGGGCGTGGTGGGGTGCCGGCCAGCCGGTGACCTTAGTCCCTGCCCAGTCCCACGGCACAGGCCTGGCTCGGACCCAGGAACGCCTGCGGCCCCTGCCCACGGCCCCTGCGGCTACCACTGAGGCTGGGTGGAAGCAATCCCAAGGGACGCGCCTGGCCCTGTCCTCCCTGGTGGGACCCGCAGCCCCGTCCAGGGCACAGGGAATCAGGGCTGGAGCACGTGCCTCGCTGCTGCCTCTGGCCCCCCAAGTCCGGGCCTCGCCACGCCTCCCAAGCCCACGCCCCAGTCTCCTAGCAGGAGCTGGTCCTGGTTCCAGACCCAGGTCCTCAGCGGCCCCGGAAAGCCTGCCGTTTGGGGGGACCCACATGGTTCTCGCACTCGCCGAAATTCCTCTGTGAAGTGGGTCTGAAGCCATGTCTCGGGGCATCCCCTGCCCCCCTCTGGTTTTCGGTCACTCACTGCAGAGACCGGCCCGTTCTGACCGGGTGAAGTGGGAGCCAGAGGGTGGGAGACTGACGGCCGCTGCCCGGGGCACTCACTGCGACACTCACCTGAGACAGAGATGAAGAGGGAGGGCTTCCCGATGGACTGGTCCAACCTGGGAGGGAGACAGACCAGCTCACACTCCGCCTGGGCACCCGGTTGGCCACCTCACCTTGGGGACACCCACCACTGCCACCCACAAACCTGCCAGCTGCCTCCCAGACCCCAGAGGCCCATGCTCCCGACGGGGCGAGGCAGGGCTCGGTGGCCGGGCACCTCCCCGAGACTTCTCCCCTGGGCAGGGCAGGGTCCCAGGACGGCCCGTGTCCTGTGGCCGCTTCCTAAGTGTCCCGGAGCAGGCGCGGTCCGAGAGGCAAGCCTGCAGCTGGGCCCTTCCCGGGGCGGCCCGGTTCCTGAGCTGGGTGGCCCTCGTGTCCCAGTGGCCGGTCCGTGACAGCCTGAGCCCCTGGTCTGAGGTCGGGCCCACACCTTCGCCCAGCTGTACCTGGGACGCACGCCAGGCTAGGTGGCCGGGCCAGCCTCAGTGGAGGCAGGGCGGTCTGAGCCGTGCAGGCCCCACACTGCTTCCGTGCGATCAGACTCTCCAGGCTCCAAGTCAGAAGCCAGACACACGGGCTCCCAGTGGCCAGGGCCTCCCGGTCCAGGGTGGGAGACCCAGGGTGGGCCCTGTGCCTGGCAGGGCCCCCCCCCCCCCCCCCCGGCGGAGGGTCCCCCGGTGGGGGTGGGGCGGGGCCAAGGTGGGAGGAGAGCCCGGGGGGTGCCCACCTTCTCTGCAGCTCTTTGATGCGCACCATGAGGTTGAGATGGCCCTGCGAGTACTGCTCAATGACGTCCCTCACGTCGTAGGGCTTCCGAGCTTGCTGCGGGCCAGAAGACACGGGTCACCGCCTTTCCGAGCCCTGCCGGCTCTGTGCGAGGGGTGGTGCTGCGCCCGGCTCTTTGGGGATTCAAGGAGATCACCCGCACGGCTGGGGTCCTCCCAGGGTCTCAGCTACCCTGGCTGGGCCGCTGGGAACTGGGTGGCCCCGGGCCCGCAGTGAGCCTCTCTGGCCCTAGCTTCCCGCCTGTCACCCGCCGGGGCCTGCTCGCTCTCCCTCAGCAGGCCGCCAGTCCCCTCCTCAACCGCCTGGAAGAGCTGCTCCAGCTGAGGGCCAGGGCAGAGGGGCATGGCGTGCCGCCGGGAGGGCACCGCGTGCAGCCCCCGCCTGCCCGGGCCCCCAGCCGACCCTCAGCACACTGGCTGGCAGGTGCGCCCACTGTTCTCAGGTAGGGAGGTGGCCCACCGTGCACCCTTCCCAGGCGGCCTCCAGGCTGGGCTGAGGTGACCCGTGACAGCTGTGGTTCAGGGCCTGCTCTGGGTGCAGGCCGGCTGGGGCGCCGAGGCTGCCAGGGCAGAGGGATGGTTGCACCGCAGCCTGGGGCACCCAGGCCGGGCATCAGCTCTGAGCCTGTAAGTGTGCCCGGGGCTCAGGCGGCATCAGAAGCCACAGCAGCGGGAGGGGTCTTCCCGTGACGTCGGTGAAGCCTCGAGCCCCGTCCACGGCCTCTTTCCGAGAGCTGGTGGGCCGAGGGGCCAGCCCAGGCCGCAGCAGGCCGGCCAAGCAGGAGCTGACGGCCCAGGAGGCCCTTCACCCACCCACGCGCACAGGCCCCGGCGACGTGGGAACACACACCACTCTGCCTGCCGGCTGCGGGGTGCAGGGGGTGGTCCCCAAGCACTGGCAAGCAGAAGGGGTGACCGGCTCTTGCTGGGAAGTGCAGAGGGCCTGCCAGGCCTGTTGGACAGCTGGGCAGAGCAGGGGCCAGGCCAGCCTGGGCAGAGGATAAGAGGGAGCAGGTGCCAACTGCGGGTCAGGACCGGGTCTCTGGGGACAGTCTCCTGGCCCGCCTGAGGCTCACTTTCCCGGGGCTGCACCCCAGGGACTGGGCGACCCTTGTCTGAGGTGTGGCCACTGCTGCCGTCCAGAGAGATGGGGTGCCCCCAGATCTCTGGGACCTTCTGACATGCCCAGGGGCACTGGCAGTGTGGCAGAGTTCTCCCAGCCCCCAGCGGTGTGCTGGACCCCAGGAATCCAAGGCAGGGCAGAGGCCTTCTCCCTCCCAGGGGTGCGGTCCCACAAGACCCGCAGGCAGGCCCCTCAGACCCGGGCACTTCTCTGGGCCCTGAATTCACGATCCTGAGACTGGGGGCTGGGCTGGAGCCGGCCTTCCCCACATCACAGCCGTGCCCGACAGAGGGACCTGCACCACCCGGCCTCACTAAGGCCCATCCTGGGGGCACAGGGCAGGATGCAGTGGGACATTAGGCAGCCTTCCCGGCTCCCCACACACCCTCAGCCTCAGGACAGTCACACACAGCACTGAGGTACGTGCTAGCGATAGAAGACCCCAGCTGGCCCACTGCGGGTTAGGGAAGAGCCTCGCTCCTCCTGGGAGATGGGGTGCTGACCTCCCCCCCTCCGTGAGATGGGGTGCTGACCTCCCCCCTCTGTGAGATGGGGTGCTGACCTCCCTCCCTCCGTGAGATGGGGTGCTGACCTCCCTCCCTCCGTGAGATGGGGTGCTGACCTCCCCCCTCCGTGAGATGGGGTGCTGACCTCCCCCCTCCGTGAGATGGGGTGCTGACCTCCCTCCCTCCGTGAGATGGGGTGCTGACCTCCCCCCTCCGTGAGATGGGGTGCTGACCTCCCTCCCTCCGTGAGATGGGGTGCTGACCTCCCCCCTCCGTGAGATGGGGTGCTGACCTCCCTCCTCTGTGAGATGGGGTGCTGACCTCCCCCCTCTGTGAGATGGGGTGCTGACCTCCCTCCCTCTGTGAGATGGGGTGCTGACCTCCTCCCCCTCCGTGAGATGGGGTGCTGACCTCCCCCCCTGTGAGATGGGGTGCTGACCTCCCTCCCTCTGTGAGATGGGGTGCTGACCTCCCTCCCTCCGTGAGATGGGGTGCTGACCTCCCCCCTCTGTGAAATGGGGTGCTGAGCCTGACTTGTGTCCCTCTGCCTCGGGCACTGAGCCCTGTCCCCCTGGCTGGCAGGAGCGGGAAGGAGATACACAGAGTGACCGGTGAGGAAGGTCAGGGCGTCCGGAGCCGGCCCACACGGAAGCGCTGGAGGTGGCTGTGTGGTGGCCGACCGGGTGCGAGCTGCCCCTCCCTGCACACCCAGGTTGGCCCTGGGCCATGCCGGTCAGCCCCCTGAGGGCCAAGGGCTCTGTGAGGCAGGTGGCACCTCCGGGCATGGTGCCATCGGGCGGGTGCAGAGCCCGAGGTGCTGCCGACTGGGCCTGTGCCCAGCGGGTCCTGGTGCTGGGCCCGCAGATGGCCCAGGAGGCCACGGCCACGGCGAGCAGGGGGTGTGGCCTCAGCGTGTGTTGGGGTCCTCTGTGTGTGCAAGTGTGTACAGATGTGCCTGTGAGAGTGAGTGGTGAGTGCGGGCAGGAGTGTGACGGGGCGTGCACATGTGCATGCGTGTGCCTACGTGTGTCCACGCGTGTCTGTCTGCAGGAGCGGAGTGGGGGCCGGTGAGCGGGGCCTTCCCCTCTCGCCTCGTCTAGGGCACAGGCCACGGCAGGGCCGGAGATGCCTGGCTGACCCGGCACGGTGCCCACAGGCTCCGTGAGGCCTCCCCCGGAGCTGACGAGTCCCCCGAGGGTCTGGGCAGCTCTCCTGGAGGCCGCTGACAAGTGGCTGCCCGGGCCCGGCCGGAGAGGGCCGCGGCCTCCTCCCTGGCGGCGGCAGGAGCCCGAGATGAGCCGAGGCCGTGCTGGGCCGTCCACAGACCGACAGTGGCCACGGGCCTTCGAGGAGAACCCAAAGGCGGAGAGGCGCGGGCTCCCCTGCCCAGAATCGGCGGGCCAGCCGGGAGGTGGCCCAGCGGTGGCCCCCCCATGAGTGCAGCCGGAGGCAGAGAGGGGCGCAGACAGGCTGGTGTGGGGAAGGCAGACCCCCAGTGCCCCTCAGCTCCGGCCTTCTGTGGGTACTGCCAGAGCAGCCAGGCCCCGGGCAGGGGAGGCCGGAGACTCCAGATGCCCGCACTCCGGGGCCGTTGGCTCTCCCCCAGAACAGTGCAGGGCGGACCTCCCGGCACCGGCCACGTGTCCTCGTCTGGACAATGAGCAGTCCCAGGCCATGCGGGGCCTCAGCACATTTGCTCATGAAGGGCCTCCCCCCGGGGGTGGGAGCAGGCGGCAGACACCACCAAAGGACCCTGTGTGCAAACTGCCCCTGAGAGGCTGCCGGTGGCCCTGCCGAGGGGGCACATGGCGCTCTGGCCGGCGGGAGGAGCTCAGTGCTGGGAGGGCCTCGCCTGCCAAGGGCTGCCCTCGGGACGGGCCTGTGGAGGGCACTGCCCGGCCTGCCGTGGGCGCGGCCTGCGTGAGGCACGCATGCTGTGGTCTCGTGCCAACCCCTCGGGCTCCTGTTCGGGGTCTGTGTCAGAACGCTCCACCGAGTCTGGCTCTGTGGCCGGGTGGGTGGGCCCTGCTGGGGCGGCACATGAACCACAGCCAGGGGCAATCGGTAGCCTGGCACGGAAGGCGAGGCCTGGAGCAGGGGACACTCCGGGACGTGCAAGTCACCCCAACCTTCCCAGCTCAGTGGGACCAGCCCAGGGTCTGGCTCTAACCTCTGGGAGAACCTGAGCCCAGCTCACAGGAGCTCACTCGTTTTAAAAATTGTTTTTCTTTTTTATTGATTTTAGAGAGAAAGGAAGAGAGAGGGGGGGAGAGAGAGAGAAACATCGATGAGAGAGAACATCGACTGGCCGCCTCCTGCATGCCCCCCACTGGGGATCGGGCCCACAACCTGGGCATGTGCCCTGACCGGGAGTCGAACCGGCGACCTCTTGGTGCAGGGTCGATGCTCAACCACTGAGCCACACCGGCCGGGCAGAGCTCACTCTTTAAAGGCACCCGTGGCCAAGCCTTCTGGAAAGAGAATGACCACCCTGAGGGGCCCTGCTCCTGTCTGCCGACCCTCAGAGCGAGGGCTGAGCCGGGCCCCCATCCTTGGACCAAGCACCGTCCCCAAAGCAGCAGTGGGGCTGAGGTTGCCCCTAACTGGCCTCCTCGGGGGCCTCAGGCGCAGGGCCAAGGGGCTGCCGCGGGGTACCCCCCCCCCCAGAAGGAAGTGTTGACAGTGAACAGAAGCCCACGGGCCCGGCTCACTCAGTCAAGGAGACCCGCCTCTCTGTCAAGGTGGGCACCGCTGGGGGCGCAGAGCGGGGCCACCTCGCCTCTCTGTCGTCCTCACACAGGGTGGGAGGGGGCAGCAAGAACTCTGAGCCGGCACAGGACAGGGCTCTGGGGCCTGGGGGACCCCAATTCCGGCCCAGGTGACGCAGGCTTGGACCTTGTCTGAGTCCTGCCCTCCCATCAGTCAGGGAGGGGTCAGTGAGCCCCCGAGGCTCTGCACCGGTCCCTGGCTCTGAGGACTGGACCTTAGGGGCCGGGACAGATCAGGGGTGTGGTCTTCCAGGGGTCTGCTGGTGGGGATGGGTAACGAAGCCATCCCAGGGTGTCTGATGGGTGGGGGGCAGGTGTCGGATGTGGCAGGAACGGAGAACTCAGCCTCCACCGTGGGCAGGAGAGGGGCTTGCCCGGGTGTGGGCAGGAGGGTCCGCGCAGGACTCACCTGGAACTTCTTCTTGGCCACGAAGTACTGCATGCGCCGGACGACCTTGATGGTGGCCCGATGGTGCTCCCGCAGCCTGCTCGGAGACAGAGGGGAGGTGTCAGTGGTCGCCCTGGGCTGGGGGCTGGGCCCCTCCCACGTGTGCCCTGTGGCCCGGGGGCCTTGCAGAGACGGAGAACGCTGGACCTCACGGCGTGGAGATCTTCACGGCCCTGGGGTGGTGGGGGCTGAGAGGCCGCGGGAGAGGCTTTAATTAGCAGGGTGGGACCCTGCTTTGCTTGTCGCTCAGACGTGGGGCAGGAGCTGGGGCCCCGGGTTCGCCGTGGCTGTCCCCTACCTCACAGCCGGGGCCCGGGTTCGCCGGGGCTGTCCCCTACCTCACAGCCAGGGCCCGGGTTCACCGGGGCTGTCCCCTACCTCACAGCTGGGGCCCGGGTTCGCCGGGGCTGTCCCCTACCTCACAGCAGAGCTACAACTTGGGCCTTCAGGGTCCAAGTATGATGGGAGGAGGTCAGACAGACGGCGCCCCAGACCCCACAAACGGGCGTGCCCCTGGAAGGCGGAGGGGCTGCGGGACGGTTAGCCGTGGGCAGTTACTGCCTGAGCCACCGTGTGCTGTTTCTCAGGTTCCTTCTGGAAACATCGCCAACAAAGACAACACCGTCAGTGAGAGGCATTTGCACAGAAGGAAGACGGGAAGGAAGTCCTGCCCACAGACTCAGCGGGGACCCTGCCTTGATGCTGACGTCGTCCCGACCGAACCCGCTGCGCACACCAGCACCCCTCAGACAGCGAGCACGAGCCCCGTGAGCACCCTCCCGGGGGCCGAGAGCCCAGAAGGGGAGACACAGGCCCGTGAGCCACCCCGGGGCCGCTGTCCTCGTCCTCGGAGCTTGTGTGGGCATACAGGCCAGAGGGGAACAGGCCCCCCGGCCGGTGAGATAAGAGGGGAGTCCAGGGTACAGACATCCGGGATTTGAAGAGACAAGAGTGGGGGACCACAGCGAAGGGAGCCCCTCCCCTGCAACTCCCCCGAGGCATTTGTGAATTAAGGTGCACAGGTGTGGGGTGAGATTTCAGTAAACTCGGCAAAAGAAGCTGCTGGGACAGCAAAACGCTGAGCAGAGAACACCACAGACTCATGTCACCGAGAAGAATTGGGGTTTAGACTCTACCAAGGGGGAGCTTTCACTGGAGTTCCCCGTCGCCTGAGTCACCTCAGTCCCTGCCTTCTACACACCCGAGGAAAACCACGCTACCTCTGGGAGACGGTACATGGAGCCCCTGCATTCCCTCAACCCTCAAAAGACCGAAAACCAAGGGGGAAAACAGACCCTGGGAACAGACCCAGAGATGTGGACGACTCCATGCCTTCAGGGGAGAGATGGCTTCCCAGTCCTTGAACCTGGGGTGACCTTGAGCCTTCCTGAGAAGGGCAGGACACAGGGAAGCCCCCTGGAGCTGGTTGGAGAGGCCAGGTGGAGAAGCGGGTGCCCTGGCCAGGCGTCGGCACCAGCGCAGACACGTGGGCACAGCCTTCTGGACCGTCCCGCCCTGATCAGCCACCAGACTCCTGCAGCGGTGTGACGCACCCCATGCCAAGCCAGCGGAACCACCTCCCACATGGCTGACACTCGGAACCACGAGCAAGGGCAAAGGTTGGTGTGAGGCCACCAAAGTTGGGTATGGTTTGCTTCACAGCAATAGACAGAAAAAGAAAGTATGCTTCCCACGTGGGGTACTGGCCCTGGCTGGTGTGGCGAAGTGGTTAGAGCGTTGAGCTGCAGACCTAAGGGTCACAGGTTCGATTCCTGGTCAAGGGCACGTACCTGGTTTGCAGGTTCAATCCCCAGCACCTGTCGGGGTTGTGTGGGAGGCAACCAGTCAATGTGTCTCTCTCACATAGATGTTTCTCTCTCTCTCCCTCTCTCCCTTCTATTCTATCTAAAAATCTACCCTCAGGTGAGGATTTAAAAAAAAGATGGGTGAAGTCCTTTGCAGGTCCCCTCTTGGAGAGACAGGGTCCATTTCCATGCTAGTGAGAGTGGACCAAGAGATGTTCTAGCACCCCCCCCCCACCCCCCGAATGCACTGCCCAGTGGACACGTCTGGACAGGGCTGACAGCCGTGGGGAGGGGAGCCTCCGCCCAGCCCACAGCCCCAACGCGTCGGAGATACGAGGCTAGCTGAGACCACCGTCCACACCAACTGCCACATGCTGAGCCCAAGGAAGACCACCCAGACGAGCAGCCCACGGTGCTGACCCGTAGACTCCAAAGCAAGTGCATGATTACTTCACAGTTGGTTTTTTTTATCCTCCCCCAAGAATATTTTTCCTTTTTTTCAAACAGAGTGGGAGGGAAGGAGAGAAAGAGGTGGAAACATGGACATGAGAGAGACACGTCCATCGGCTGCCTCCAGCACGACCCCAACCAGGGCCGGGGTTCTAATGCAACCGAGGTAGGTTCGGTTGACCAGAATCGAACCCATGACTCTGGCCTGTGGGCCGACACTCTAACCCCGCGCTGAACCAGCCAGCACTGCTTTGGAGATTTTTGGTGAGGTTTTAAATAACCACGGCACGCAGGTTCAAGGAAAACGATGAAAAGAGGGACAATTTCACCGGAGAAATAAAACCTCTATGAAAAACTGAAAGAGAAAAGAACTTCCAGACCACAAAGGTCATCATGGAAATTAAGAACGCAGCAGGCGGACCGGAGAGCAGAGGCGGCGGGCAGAAGGGAACCGGTACACCGGCGGGACCAGCCACGTGGGGGGCGGAGTGAAAGCGAATGCAGTGCTCCCGTGAGATACGGTGCAACGTTCTAACACTCGGGAAACCTCGGCAGGAGCGTGGACATGCTGGAGAACAGCTACTTCTGAAGACTTGGGGGCTGGTAACTTTCCACACGTGATGGAAGACATCAGGCCACAAATTCCAGCCCCTCTGTGGACCCACGCTGGAGAGACAACAGGGACGCCGCCCCGGGCCACCAGAGGGACACTGCTGAAGACCAAAGGCACCGGAAATGTCCCCGGAGCGGCGAAGGAAGGAGGGGGATGATGACAACATGATCCTGATGGCTGACTTGTCAACAGAGACGATGAAAGCCAGATGACATCTTTAAAGTGGTCAAGGAAAATTATCAACTTAGCATTCTATACCCATCAAATGCGTCCTTATAAATAAAGGTGTAAGTGAGAAAAGCCAGACACAGAACAGATCTCGTGTGGTTCCACTCCGTGAGGTCCCTGGAAGAGTCAGAGCCATGGAGACAGAAAGGAGGATGGTGGGGGCCAGGGGCTGGGGAGGGAGTGTTTAATGGGGACAGTGTCAGCCAGGGAAGGTGGAAAGTTCTGGAGGTGATGGTGCTGAGGGCCGCACCCCCCCGTGAATGCGCTCAGTGCCACTGAGCTGTGCACTTAGGATGGTGGAGCCGGACACTGCACCACACACTAACAGGAAGGTGAAGCCCAAACCAGACCTCACTTCCAGGGGAGCGGCCTTGAGCGATGACTTGGGGGCCTCCCCAGGCAAGGAGCAGGACCCCAGAAGGAAGCCAGGAAATACAGGGCGGGGCTGGGAACACAGGGAAGGACAGACTGATGAGAGAGTTTCGTGAGGTTTAAGTATTCCTGGAGATGGAGGGGGAGGGACATCTCGTCATTTAAAAAGTGGGCAGCCCAGCTGGGGTGGCCCCGTCGGGTGAGTGCCGTCCTGTGCACCAAAAGGTTGCCGGATCGATTCCCGGTCAGGGCGCACACCTGGGCCTGGGTTGCGGGTTTGATCCTCAGTTGGGAAGCATATGGAAGGCAACCGATTGCTGTTTCTCTCTCACGTGGATGTTTCTCTCTCTCTCCCCCTCTCCCCTCTCTAAGCACGTCCTCAGGTTAGGGTTAAAACAACAGCGGGCAATTTGACAGAAAGCTATTCTAACCCTGCATGCACCTAAAGGCACACACACACGCGTGAGCTAAAACACGCGATAAGAATCACGCAAGGCAGAGGGGGAAGTGAAGTTACCCAGGTGTAAGTGCCGTGTATTGTCAGGACGGTGGTGAAAGCGTCCACCTGAGGTCGACGTGAATGGGTCCAGGATATATTTTATACTCTCCAGGCAACCACTGAAGGGACAACCAAAGGCTGGAGACTCAACAGACTCATGGGGGGTCAACGCTGACTAGTAACAACACCTGATCAATCCGGGATATATTTTATACTCTCCAGGCAACCACTGAAGGGACAACCAAAGGCTGGAGACTCAACAGACTCATGGAGGGTCAACGCTGAATAGTAACAACACCTGATCAATCCGGGATATATTTTATAATCTCCAGGCAACCACTGAAGGGACAATCAAAGGCTGGAGACTCAACAGACTCATGCAGGGTCAACGCTGACTAGTAACAACACCTGATCAATCCGGGAGACGCAGGGAAGGAGATACACAGGAAGCGCCGGACGGAATGAGAACCAGGCGTAAGCCCGTAGATTGCACGCGTTTCAAAGGGACTGAACGTCCCGATTAAAAGGCCAAGGTGCTCAGGCAGAATTAAAATGGACTCGATGTTGCTTACAAATCTCCGTTAAAATACATAGATATAGACACCGGACCGCGAAGGGAGAGAAACAGCCATATCCTGGCGCAGCCGAGAGAAAGTGGGCGGAGGTGAATGGACCCCAGACTTCAAGCAGTAAGAATTTAGAGGTACCAAGGGATCCTCCGTGTAAGACGGGGCCCACGTTTGGCGGGAAGAGATCCATTCTCAACCCGTATGCGCCTGCAAACAGAACTTCAGAACACACAAAGCAAAACCCAGCGGAACTAAAAGGCAAGAGGACAGCTCCAGGCTAGTAGCAGAGCAGAGCGAGCAAAACCCCAACAGGAGAAACGCCAACACCGTGAGCGCAAGGCAGCCCGATCGGCCCTCACAGACCGCGGCTCCGTGACCGAGCACACGCAGCTTTCCACGGGCACACGGAGCCTGCCCCCGAGGGGCCCTCGCTGGGCCTTCAGAGCCGGCTCGCAGGACTTCCCAAGAAATCCAGTCGTGTGTTTGTTCCCTGACCACAGT